CGTGGGGTGACATGATAGCAGTGTTCCGATATTTGAGGGGCTCCCACAAAGAAGAGGGGGTCCACCAATTCTCCAAAGCATCTGAGGGCAGGTCAAGAAGCAATGGGCAGAAACTAATCAAGAGAGAAGGAACCTGCAACTAAGGAGGAATTTCCTTAGTTGCAGGTGAGAACAATTAATCAGTAGAATGACTTTCTTCCAGAAGTTATGGGTGCTCCAATGCTGGAGGTTTTTAAGACGAAATTGGACAACCCTTTGTCCAAAATGGTAGAGGATCTCCTGCTTGATGGTAGGGTTAGATTGGAAGATCTCCAAGGTCCCTTCCAATTCTGTTATTCTGTTATTATGATTCCACCTAAATAGTAGCAAGAGCTTCCTTCTGCTAGGAGTATTGATGTTGACACAAATGATCTTGCAAGGTTGGATAATCTTTCATGGGAGATAACAACTTGTCAGGATGGTCGTAAGGAACATAAGGTTCCTTCATCAGCATTAGCCTGGACTCAGTTACTTTTGAAGTCCTTCCATATCTACAAGATGAAGAATAACAATAGCAATAGCACTTAGACTTGTATACCGTTTCACAGTGCTTTTATAGCCCTCTCTAAGCAGTTTACAGAGTCAGCCCAATGGCCCCCAACAACAGTGGGTCCTCATTTTACCCACCTTGGAAGGATGGAAGGCTGAGTCAGCCTTGAGCCTGGTGAGATTCAATCTGCCAAACTGTTGGCAGCCGGTGATCAGTAGAAGTGGCCTGCAGTACTGCACTCTAACCACTGCACCACCACGGCTCTAGTTGATACTGGTAGACCTTGACTTAGAATCATTCATTGGGTGATCATTGAAAGTTATAACAGCACTGATTTATGACCGTTTTTCATGCTTGCAACCTTTGCAGCATCCTCATGGTCACGTGATCAAAATTCGGATGCTTGGCAACTGACACATATTTATGATGTTTGCAGTGTCTCAGGGTCACCAACTTTTGTGACCTTCTGACAAACCAAGTCAATGGGGAAGCCAGATTCACTTTACAGCTGTGTTACTAACTTAACAACTGTCATAATTCAATTCACAACTGTCACAAGAAAGGTTGTAAAAATGGGTCAAAACTCACTTAATGACTGTCTCACTTAGAAACAGACATATGGGTTCAATTGTGGTCGTATGCCATGGACTACCTGTACCTCTTTAAGCTTTTGTGATTGAATATTGTTGCTTAGCGGTTGATTAGAATGGCTAATCTTTTTGTGGCTGAAAGTTATCTTGTAGGAAGAATGGAAGGAAGAGAGAAAGGTGTTTAATGTTTTATTTAAAATAAATATTGTGTGTATCCTTAATCAGAATGCATTTCTGAATTGCAGTTATTGTAGGAGATGACCATGCTGAGCCTGAGGGAGGGGTCAAATGCATCATAAGTCTCGAGTACCTGCGTGCCCGCAAGAGATCTAAGTCCTGCCCACCCTAAAGACCTCTCTTATCTCCCGCTCAATTCTCTTAACAGCCAGTTGGTCAGATTCTTGTAGAGAGCTTGCAATACATCTTTATGCTCATTTGAACTTCCTGAACCTCCTAATTTCTCTGGCGCTTGACAGTTATTTCATATTTGGAGCTAAACTTGAGATAAAGAGCAGGTGACACCCATTTTGCCAATCAGCTTCAAATAATGTGCTTGTTAATCCTTCTCTGCCCAGAAAGGAATCCACAAGGACACCCCATTTTCTCCCCATTTTCCCTACAGGAATTGCAATCATTTTGCTTCCTTCTGACATCCTGCTTTCTCACTCATGAGAAAGGCGTGTCAGGAAAGTGACTTCCTTTGCTGGGAAGAGTTTAAAAAGTGAGAGACTCACTCCCCAGGAGCTGAGTTGGGACCCCAAACCTCTAACTTGTTACCTAGATTATAAAAATAAGCCTTCACTAAGTTATGATGGCAGAAAGTGATGCTGGCCATCTGCAATTCTCTACAGCTATTCATCGGGAGAGATAGATCCCAGGAGAATAACATGTTTTTGATTACTGTTTTTACTCCTGAGTCCAATTACTAGTTTCTAAGTTTTCATGTGGGAATTAGCAGGCTAGGTTAGCAACCCAGTTAGTTTTTGAGAATAGACACGGGGCAGGAAAAATAATATCCGGTTTCTCCTATTTCTTCCCCCAAAAAGTTCACCTTTGTGCCATTGAGATAATTGTGTTGTAGATTTTTGTGTTGTGGTTTTTTTTTTTTTTTAATGGAAGGTTGGAAGGCCATAATCCAGCTTCATTTTATGTGTGATCAGGCATAAAAAGAAGTCAAGACATGTGGGCAGATGGATGTGGCCACTGATTAATTAAGCCAAATTGGAATAATTAAATAGGACACAGGACTGCTTTGATATTGTCAACAGTTCTTGGTAAATACCAAGTTACAGGTAGTCCTCAATTTACAATCACATTTGAGTCTAAAATTTCTGTTGCTAAGCAAGACAGTTATTAAGTGAGTTTCGCCCCATTTTACGACATTTCTTGTTTAGCCTGTTAGACAATGTGTAACCCGTTACAACATGCCTCTTTACAGAGGACAGAATGATGTTAGTCCTTATCTTCTCTAGACCAGTAAGGAATAATCCAACAACTCAAATTACTTGTGTCTTTTAGAAGAAAAGAAGAAACTGCAATACTTTCAAACAATGTACAGGGCTATTCCACCAGAGAGAGACTGGCCAAGCCAGGGGAGGAGTCAAAAGGGGAATTAGTCTGCAGAGGCACAAGAGGACAAAGTCTGACAACCCCCTGCCTGAATGCCATTGAATTTTACCTAATCCCAAACCGCCAGTCTGGAAAGATTCCTGTGAAATAGACAGGAGAATTAAAGTAGCTAATTGAAGATTTCATATGTGGATCTGGTTGTTCATACCTGACAGGTGCAGTCCCATCACTTTTATTGAGTTATCATGCTTATAAAGGAATTGAAAAGTCCTAAAATTGTTGCTGGGCACCACATTGGGGAAGAAGTCTCTCTCTCTCTCCCCCCTTCCCCGCCCTCCCCCCCTCCCTCCCCCCCCTCTCTCTCTCACGCACACACACACACACACACACACACACACACAAGCATTGTACATTCTTACTTTCATCCTTTGTTATCTATTTCCTAGTTCTTCTGTCATCTTTCTATTCTAAATTTAGGTTGTAAGTTCCTTGGGGCAGGGAGATGTCACTTTTCCTTATCCAAGGCCCCTTGTATACCAATTGCATCACTAGTTTGGGTGCCACTTATAATCATTTGTGCAAGAGAACCCTATTCGCCTAAGCAGGCTTCTGTTTGCTTGGTCCTCTGTTCCTTCCTTCCTTCCTTCCTTCCTTCCTTCCTTCCTTCCTTCCTTCCTTCCTCCTCCTCCCTCCCCTCCCTCCCTCCCTCCCTCCCTCCCTTCTTTTCCTTCCTTTCCTCCTCCTCCTCTTCCTCCTCCTCTTCTTCTTCTTTCCCTTCATCCTCCTCCTCCTCCTCCTCTTTATGAATCCTTTTTCTTTTTATGCTGAATCGGCAGCACCACACCTGTGTTCCCATTCAACATGGACCTTATTAAAATGTATTTTAAGAGAAGCTAATCTTGGCTATTTTGTAAGGCTCTCTTTCTCCCCCCCCCTTTTTTTTCTAGGAACATTTTGGGAGTAGGAAGATCAGTTTTTACTGAAAATATACATTTGGATTCAGCTTCATCTACACATGATTTTTTTAGGCTGTAATAAAAAGAAAACTTACAGTTTCTATAGAAAAGAAAGTGCATTTTGATAAAGAAGAATATTTGTAGCTCAGGGTTGAAATGAAGGGTCTTTGATGCTCTCTGAGCTTGGTGATTTTCTTGTAGATGTTTCATTATCCTAGATAACATCACCAGTGCTAGAAGTGCAAACCCCACTCCCTTCTAGCATTGATGATGTTCCTAGTTTGGGTAATGAAACAAGAAAGAAAACAAGAAAACAACCAAGTTCAGAGAGCACCAAGGATTTCTCATCAGTAAGATTACATGCTTCATTTCTCTTTTTGAAGAGAATTAAATACTTAGATCAGATTGGAGTTAACTGTAAGGGTGACAGTGTATTATGAACATGTCCTATTGTTTTTTTTGTATCAACTTGTATTTTTGTATCAGTTTTATGTATTTGATATGGTCAATTGACAATAAACCCTTCCTTCCTTCCTTCCTTCCTTCCTTCCTTCCTTCCTTCCTTCCTTCCTTCCTTCCTTCCTTCCTTCCTTCCTGGAGTAGACTGATTAGAATTTGAATGATAGATCATAAAAAATGTCTCCATTGAAAGCTAGTTTGGGAAATTAAAAAAAAAAATCTGAAAAAGGCAGTGTTAAAGTTACTCCTGTATTGTTGTTAAGAAAATTACTTGGTTTTGTCCATTTAATCACTAGGTGTCAAGTTTCACTTGAGTATGTATCTGTCAGACCTTCCAGATATTGCAGAACAAATTACAGCCATAATGGCCAAATCTGAAGGATTCCTAGAGCAGAAGTTCAGTAGCAATTTAATAAAATAAAATAAATATACATTTGAATTCACCAGAGAGAGCAGGGGTCTTAATGATATAATACTATATACTATACTAAAATACTAGAGCTATTTTTATCTTGAAAGAAATGATTTCATTTGAGAAAAGCTTGTATATATAAAAACACATTGAAGAATATTCAATGACCGATTAGATAATATCTGCAATATCTGATCACTGACTTTGCTTCAAGAATTATTCTCTTGGCTATGTATTTTTTCTGTAAACTTCAACCAAAGTTATATCTGTATAACTTTGCGTATCTGTACTCATACATTCATACTGTACATATGTCTATAGCAAATCCATCCATTGCATTTTATTTATGGAAAGGATGAATAAAAGCTGTGAAACAGGAAAAATATTGCAATGCCACAATAGTGGAAGTGTGAAGAGCTCATTTTTAAATATGTTTTTAAAATTCAAAACTCCTTTAAAGTTATTTCCTTAACTCAACCTTCAACATTATTCAGTATGTTTATTATGTGCACTATTTTAACCAACTGTGTATTTATGGCGTGGTCCGAACTTCCTCCGTGGAATAAATACGTGGAGTAAGTATCTTTTCAGAACTTTATTTTCTTTTTGAATTTGCATAATATTAGAATCCTGCTGCATATAATTTAAGTTGGGAACTGGGCACATGAGGACTGTCCATGTTCTTGTGATTATCTTATTTATGTTTTCTAGGGTGATGAATAGCTGGGATGCTAAATCATAAATTCAAAATTTATTGAAAACTAGAATGGAATTAATATCTATTAAAATATATGATTAAATTGTGTTTTGTCAAAGTGTACCTCAAGTGGATTGACAAAACACAATTGATTCAGATAAATTATATAGCTTTTAGAGAGTGGACTTTTCTCAGAGAAGTCTGTAATCTAAAGGCTTAACAAAACACTTACCTTTAATTGAATTTGGAAAGTGCATACTACAGATAACATACTACAGATAGTCCTCAACTTACAATCATTCATTTTGTGATTCTTCAAAGTTACAACAGCACTGAAAATGTGACTTGTGACCATTTTTCACACATAATGACCATTGCAGCGTCCTCATGATCATGTGGTCAAAATTTGGGCACTTAGCAACTGGCATCTATTTTATAATGGTTGCAGTGTCCCAGGATCATATGATCACCATTTGTAACCTGCCCAGACAACTTCCAACAAGCAAAGTCAATGGGAGAAGCCAGATTCATCTAATGGCCATATGATTCCCTTAACAACTGCAATGGTTCACTTACCATATTGGCAAAAACACCAAAAAATGGTTTTCAAAACTCAATCTCTGCCTTGCTTAGCCATGGAAACTTTGGGCTCGTAAATTGTGGTTGTAAGTTGAGGACTACTTGTAGTCACTGCTGCAGTTAGAGACACATCACTCTGCAGGATGTTAGAAATACTTTTTTTTTTGCAGAATTGGATAAGGATCAACTCTGACTATTCATCAATAGGTAATACTGGAGTGACAGAACTAAACAATCTGGATTTGTATATATAAATACTTCTGAAACTTACCTTTTGAATGAAAGTTCAGTACACCAAGCCTGCACTTCTGCAAGTTCTTAGTGAAATGGATACCAGATGCAAAGGCTTAATCTAAGTGCAGTGCATTAAACAATTAGTGTGGCTCATTGCACCAACCAGAACACACTTTTTATTTTTGACTGATGGATGATAAACACAACCATCTGCTCCTCACTATGGGCGCCAGAAGGAAAGAGGACAAAATGCCCTTCTTCCAGACAGGATCTTAGAGACAGTCCCAACTTCCAGGCGCAGTGAAAATCCTCTAAAATGGGGCATATTTCTCTTCTCCTTTGGAACACTAACCAGATTTACAGTTGCATGTGATCGAGATCTGTTTTTAAAAGCTGCCCTTATTGTGTTTCTCACAGGCATACAGGTAGTCCTCAACTAAACAACCATTCATTTAGCAACCGTTCAAAATTAGAACAGCATTGAAAAAAGTCACTTAAGACTGTTTTTCAAACTTATGACCTGTGTAGCATCCCCGTGGTCACGTGATCAAAATTTGGATGTTTGGCAACTGGCATATGTTTGTGACAGTTGCATTGTCCGGGATCACCTTTTGTGACTTTCTGATGGGGAAGCCAGATTCACTTAACAACTGTGTTACTAACTTAACAACTGCAGAGATTCATTTAACAACTATGGAAGGAAAAGACATATAATGAGGCAAAACTCACTTAACAACTGTCTTGGGCTCAATTGTGATCATAAATTGAGGACTTCCTGTGCATACAAATGCACATGCAGCCTTCATTTATTTATTTACTTATATTTCCTCTTTCTAAAGCACCCATGTCCCTCAGCAGCTCCTTAAGTGGCTCAGTGGCTAAGACGCTGAGCTTGTCGATCAGCGGTTCGAATCCCTTGTATAGATCTCCTGCGTGAGCAGGGGGTTGCACTAGATGACCTCCAAGGTCCCTTCCAACTCTGCTACTGTTACTCAGAGGTGTTGCTGGATTGCAACTCTCAGAATTCTACATCCTGCTTTATTATGCCAATGGGGAATTCTGGGACTTGAAGTCAAGGTGTAGCTGGAAGAAATCTTTTGGAGAAAGCTGGTTTAGCAGATAGGGTAAAAGGAGTAGTGAACTCGTCCAGTTCTGTAAATTCAAGATAGAATTGATAGATGTGAGGCATTTCTTGCAATTTTTTAAAAACCTTTTTGGGTATGGTACTTGAAAATGAAAATGAAAATTGGGATGTTGGAGAAGGACTCTTGAGAATCCCTTGGATTGCAAGGAGATGCAATCAGTCAATCCTAAAGGAAATCAACCCTGCCTGTTCTTTGGAAGGACAAATACTGAAGCTGAAGCTCAAATAGTTTGGCCATCAAATGAGAAGAGAGGACTCCTTGGAGAAGACCTGGAGGTTGGGAAAGAAAGGAGAAGGAGATGGAGCAGGATGATATAATGGTTAGATGGTGTCATCCACACAATGAACATGAATTTGGACAGACTCCAGGAGACAGTGGAGGACAGGGGGGCCTGGCATGCTATGGATTCATGGAGTCATGAAGAATTGGACAAGATTTAGCAACTGAACAACAACACCTTCAAAATGATGGTCAAAAGAATGCACAGTGGACAAAATCAAATACTAAGTTAACTATGATTGATAGTTACATACTGTTGGGTCAGAAGGATGAACAGTGGTGATAGGGAAGAGAAAGTTGCTGTTCTGCAAAATCCCATTTTCAATTTTATTCCCAACTATGGCAGTCTTCTTCAACTTGGTATCTATGATGTATGGACAACATGCTGCTATGCTGTCTAAACCGACCTTGCCAGGGTAAATGGGTGTTGAAGTCCAAAATATCCTGAAGGCACAATATAGAGAAGATTCATACTAAAGTGATAGTATGAATCAATGCAGTCTAGCCTATAGCTGACTTTCATTTATTGCCAAATTGCCCATACTGAAAAGTGGGTCAGCTTGCTGCAAATGTTTGTGTGGTTGTGTTCAAGTGGCAAATCAGGAGCCGCTGAGTTTCAGTTAGTAGTCAATCCGCTTCTGTTTCGGTTAAGCAACTAGACAATCAGCACCAGTGCAACAGCAAGCCAAATCTTAATTACACAGCTGCATTAGCTTTGCCAGTAGCAAAAAAATCACAGTGAAAATATTACATCAGAAAAATAAATTAACAATAGGTTTTCAGCACTTCTAGCTGGTTTATAATGGAATTACAACCATGTCCATTGAAAGAAATTGGTCAATCTCAGCTTCAATTAAATTAAAAGCATTTTGAAGCGTGAGCTCCTATAGGCATTATTGAATTACAACTCCTAACAACCTTAACCAACATGGCTAGTGACAAAGGATATTGGGAACTGTAGTTCCAGAGCAGCTGGCAGGTTCTAGGATAAAACTAAGGCTGAAGAGAGATGGAAACATTGTGAGGAATATGGTAGCAGCATTTTCATAAATATATTATACAGAATAACAGAATAACACAGTTGGAAAAGACCTTGGAGCAGAGGTGGGTTTCAGCAGGTTCTGACCAGTTCTGGAGAACCGGTAGCGGAAATTTTGAGTAGTTCAGAGAACCGGTAATAAAATTTTTGACTGGCCCTGCCCCCATCTATTCTCTGCCTCCCAAGTCTCAGCTGATCGGGAGGAAATGGGGATTTTGCAGGAACCTTCCCCTGAATTGGGGACGGAATGGATATCTTACAGTATTCTTCCCCTGCCACACCCACAAAGCCACACCCACAAAGCCATGCCACGCCCACCAAGCCACACCCACAGAACCGGTAGTAAAAGATTTTGAAACCCACCATTGCCTTGGAGGTCTAATTCTCTGCTCTACCATTCTGGACAAATGGATATCCAGTTTCTTCTTCAAAACCTCCATATTATCATGTCTATTTATATATGGAGAGAGCAATTATAGTGACAATTTCAAACATAGGTTTAGGCAGTGTCAGGAGCTGAATGCATGGCAGTGTTCCAATATTTGAGGGGCTGCCACAAAGAAGAGTGAATCCACCTCTTCTCCAACTCTGTTATTCTGTTGTTCTGGCTATTAGGTTAGATATTGAAGGATCGGTGCATATTTATTCATTTTTTTTGTCCTGCCGTTTGCTAATATTCTCACTTTTTTTCTTGGACTCTAAACTCTTTATAGGCAAACTTTTACTGCCATTTACACATTTGAGTCATTGATAAAAATACTGGCCAGAGGATTTTGTATGACTGAATTCACCTTCCTTCGAGACCCCTGGAATTGGCTGGATTTTTCTGTTATTATCATGGCGTAAGTAATTTTACTGTATTTTTTCCCTTCATCTCCCTGGACTGAGCTTTATTGAAGTTTTATGATATGATAATATGTGTTGCTCACCTCTGCCTTTCTAAAGAATTAATTTTGTGTATTGATAGTTTTGGGACAAGGAAGTGAATGAACTTCTTTAGATCAGCTATTCCGCTTCCTTCCAGATAGGCTGGAACAACATCTCCCATTATCCCCAATCAGCATGGGGAATTGGTCACCTCAACTCCTCTGACAAGCACATGCTTGGGGATGGTGCTTTAGATTTTGCTGGCAACCTATTTAACTAAGTAAAATGAGTAACTTGCTACAAATGAAATTCATAATTAAGTGAAACATATTCCAGGGCACTTTTGCTAGGAACAATAATATCAACTACAGTGAACAGTGCATCTAACATTTGGCACATGTTAAAGGCTGACTTAGATATTGGCGTCTTTTCTCTAACACTTTGACAGAGTGTCAAATTTCACATGATTCTTCTTCTGAAGTCTAGACCAGATTCTTTAAATAGATTTCTTAGCAATTTCCAACCTGTTTAGCTTCTGTAGCCATTCTGAAACAAATGTATAGGGAAATGTAATTTTAAAAGGATTACAGCCAAAGTCCCTCTGTTTAAAATGCTACTATAAATTTGTGGCACAGACACAACTCTCTCAGTGATTGAGTCTTCATTGACATATTATAATACATTTTGGGGAGAGACCCCTGAAGTTGGTGTGGCAGGAGTTGGTGCATTCCAACGGCACTCTGACTCTCTGCCTAATTAATTTTTTATTTTGACTGATGAAGATTTGTCCAGTTGCCATGATTCAACATTTTAGATATCTCTCAATGTAGAGTTTTCAGCATTATACTGGAAAAACCTTCATTGCTAAATTGGTATAAATCCTTATCTCTCCTATCTCCAGACCTATGAAATTGAATAGGAAAGAGTTTATGCCTACCATAGCCTGGATTCCCATATTGTACTAAGTCATCATACAGCTTGCTGGTTTTGTCTTATTTGTAATGTGAAGCAAGCAAACTTTGGTTTACTCAATAGAAATCACAGTTTAGACCCATTGGTGAATAGAGTTGTACTTTAAGGGGAGGATATGCTAAAACCTTAACACCAAATCCACTGCAACTTTCTGAGAATCAGCTGAACCTTTACACCTAGGGCTATAGAGAAGATCTTTCCAATGAAAGGGATTAAAATCCCTATTAGAAAAAATAACTTCTTTAAGTCAAAGTGAATATTTTTTTTAAAAAATGTGCAGGACCGGGAGGTGAGGTCAGAAATTTCCGTGAGTACAAATTTGAGGGGCGTATAATTTTTTTCCTTCCTGGGGAACTTGTTGTGATCTGGATGTGCATCAAAGCAAAACAACTAATTCAGCCAGATGTCCCATCGTCCACCTTCAAAGTTTTATCAAACCTTCATTAAAGTCCTGCTTCTATGGTGCACTTTGCCTTGTCATGTCAATGTTATTCCTCTTTGCCAGACACGACACCTCATTGAGATGGACTGTGGCTGAATTGCAAAAGGCAGCCAGCTATAACTTTGGCAAGACCACTGTGAGAATGATAAAAGTTCTTGAGTTTGACTGCAACAACAAGTCCGTGAGGAATTACTAACTAAATTAGTAATTCCTAACTGACTGAACTAAAGTAAACTAAACTGAACTAACAACTAAAAGCCACACACAACCAGGCACCATATAAATACAGGTAGACCCCAAATTGACCCCAAAATGTATGTTGTTAAGTGAGAAATTTGTTAAGGGAGTTTTGCCCCTTTTTACGACTTTTTTTGCCACATTTGTTAAACGAATCAATACAGTTGTTAAGGGAATCTGGTTCCCCATTGATTTCGCTTGTCAGAAGATTGCAAAAGGGGATCATATGATCCCTGGACATGGCAACCATCAAAAATGTGTCAGTTGTCAAGCATCCGAATGTAAATCATGTGACCATGGGGATGCTACAATGATCATAAATGTGAAAAATGATTATAAGTCACTTTTTCAGTGCTGATGTAACTTCAGACAGTCACTAAAATAAATGTTGTAAGTCAAGGACTACCTGTAGTACCTATAGTACACATTCTGGAGAGAGATATGTTCCCCGGGTATGGGTCCAGCTTGTTTCCAAAAGCTTGGAAGAATAATTTTCTAGTCCCGGTGACTGACTCAGATTGGATCCTGCAGCATTATCCTGGGACGCTATCCTTTGCCTTTTATTTGCAATTACTTCCTTATTTGACCTCCACATTTTCTCATTTTGGGATATCCATATTAAAATTGGATATGGGCATAGCTTTTTATTTATAAAGATTCAGCTCCTAGCATAATAACCTGTAGAAAAGATCAGGCCCAACATTAAGTAGAATAAGATAACTAGTCTAAAATAGCAAATACTAAGAGTCGTTAATAGTAGCAACATCCCAGGTCCTATTTTTGAGGTTCCAAGTCTTTCCTAAATCTAAGAAATCTAAGAAATCATGACTGTGTGTGTTAGAAAGGCTGTATATAACTCTTGTATCTGGGAAAGGAGTTACGTTTCTCCTGCTACCGTGTTTCCCCGAAAATAAGACTCTGTTTTATATTTTTTTGAACCCCGAAATAAGCGCTTGGCTTTATTTTCGGGGAGGTCTTATTATTTTGGGGTGCATGGAGCAAGATGAGGCTCCTCTTGCCATCTTACCTGATTTCCAGCTCTGTCTCCCTAACCCTAACCAGAGGAAATGGCGGGGACCAGCTGTGCATGCATTTTAATATTTTGGGGGAGGCTTATTTTTTTGGGGTGGGGGTGAGTATTTTAACACATACGCTCAAAAGCCCAATTGGGCTTATTATCCCAGGAGGTCTTAATTTCGGGGAAATATGGCAAATACATCTGTCCATTTTAGTTACAGTTTTTTTCTTACATTTTTCTCAATACTTCCCCTATCTCTTTTCTTCTCCTTCTTGCTTTCCCAGCTCCAATTTTTGTGGGGGTTTCCCTTACTTTAGTTTAGTTGGGTGTGAGATAAATATCAGTTCTATGTAAATTCAATTTATATCAGCTTTCAAAGAAAATGACCAAATAAGCTTGAATCCAACATGAATAAGTAGGAATATAATAATCTCATTCAGCTACATCAGGGGTGGCCAACTATGGCCCTTTTACAACCTGTGGACTTCAACTCCCAGAATTTCTGAACTGAGCCATGCTGGCTAAGGAATTCTGGGAGTTGAAGTCCACAGGTTATAAAGATGCAATAGGTGCTTATGCTTCAGATAGATATACATACATACATACATGCATACATACATACATACATACATACATATATATGTTTTCTGAGGTTTTCGCAGGTGTTTGTATGTAGG